TTTTTCTTGCTTACACTCTCTTTGGCTTTTATCACAAGACTAACGTTTTCCTCACCCTTAGCCTCTTTTCTATCACTAAAGAGTTTTTCTTTGCTTTTACTCAATCCCTCTTGCTTTTCTCTCTCTAACTCACAGACTTTGTTCATCTCATTACCTTCTCTCTTTTCTTTTCTTTCAATATCACTCTTTACCTCACTTGATATCCCACTCTTTTCACTCAAGACAACCTCTCCTTTTTCCTCTCTTGGAATGTCAACATGCACTCCCTTACTCCTCTCATTCTTTTCTCTCTCATATTTTTTTATATTCTCTTTAACAATCTTTTCATCTTCACAAATTTGTGAGGGAGTCAAAGGCCCAAGAATGAGTTTCTTCCCATTAATATCAAAAGAGTATCTATTTTTTTCAATACTATATGAGGCACTTCTATAGACATACCATGGCCATCCCAACAAGATATGAAAACTATTCATCGGAATGACATCACACCAAATCACATCCTCATACCTTCCAATAGAGAATGGCAAGAACACTCTTTTATCTACTTTTACCCCTTTCAACATTGTCTTCCTTCCATTCGGTATACTGTAAGTTCGACTTTTCAAGTTGTTGAGTCATAACTTTCCTCCTTCTACTGTAGCTACTTGTTTGAGACATCTTGACATAGATTAAGGAAAATATGTATCTCTCAAATTTGGCTTTTTTCCTATAATGCTCTCACCTCTCTTGCCTTTTTTTCCTCTCGAAATAACCTTTGAACAAAATACTTTATAGATTTATGGTTAAACCCAACTCATATAAAGTTCTTAGTAGTAAAATATAGATTTTTGGGGAACAAATGAAAGAAGAACCGAATCCTAGAACTATTAGGCTCGGTTGAAACAAGACACGAACAAAAAGGAATTGATTATATATTTAGATTAGAAAGAGTAAGAGAAATTAAATTTTTNTACTAGTTTGGGTCATTGGTTTGGACTCCAATTGGGCTCCATTTCAAACACCCCCATTTAGACCTCTTTTAAGCTCATTTTGGGCTCTTCTGGGTGCCCTTTCGCTAGATTTCAAGGGCCGAGTTCGGGACTCAATCTTCCTCCTCTTGGACTTCAATTTGGACCACCAAATAATTGTAAAACTTGTATAATTTATTTCCTTTGGTTTTGAGCTCGTCTTCCATAATTAAAAGCTTCTTTAATTGCACTTGAAGTTTAATGGCCTTATTTTGCAACTCTTTAACTTGACATATTGTTAAAGGCCATCTTTGAGATTCCAAAGCTTCATTCTTGTCCTTGAATAGAGTTGAGCTTCCTAGGATGCTATCAAGTTGTACCTTTTGATAAATCAAAACGATAAACAAATCACATTGATCATAATAATTATATCAATATTAGGAGTATAAGCTCATTTAATGAATTAGAGAAAATGTTATATATATATATATATATATATATATTAAGTACAAAAATATATTTTCTCTACTTGGTCCGTTCAATATACACTAAGTATACTAGCACAAGAAGTCGGAGTAAAACTACTCCCATAATCAAGGCAAATTATACTATATTCTTGTGCTACAATCAACAAGATATTTTACCCAATAACATCTTCGATTGTGAACATAATTTATTAATTATGAGAACTGACAATTTAATCTTCTGTGCATGAGCTAAGACTCCATATACTAAATTGTCTACTACATAACTAAATGATACACATGTAACAAATGATCTATTTAAAATAGTACTTTATTGAATTGAATAAATTAAATAAGCAATTGTTCAATAAAATATAAAACACAATACTATATCTAAACTGCATGGTTAATAATATATCCCAACAAGATTTTCCTTAACTAGTTATCTACACATAAATATTGAGAGTTGAATTCATAACAAATTAATCCAAAGCGGTTAAAATTATTGATGATATTTTAAAAATATTTATAGTATTATATCATTAAAAGTGAATTACAATCATTTTCATAGAGTAAACATAGACTGAAGAGTGGTTTGTTTCGAACAATAATAATATTTTAGTGTAAAACCTTTATTGCTGTCAATATATTTAAGTTAATCTTATTTTTAATAATAACCTCTTAAATACAAAGGCGTACGTTACTTTTTTCTTTTAATGCTCGAACATTTTCTATACAGTAATTTTAAAAGAAGTTATATGTACATATTAGCATATATTAAAAAGTAAAAATGATAAAATTTATTTATGTATTATTCAAAATTGCTTAGCTTTATTCATTGTTAAATTTTTTTGATCCTTTTATACCATTGAAATAAGAAAAGTATCTCATATTTGTCCTTTGCTATTAACATAGCTGGAGCTAGCTGAATTGAGTGAACTTCATATATCTAAATTTCTTGAGAAAAAATATAATCATAAATTTACTCCTTAACTTTTTGGCTATAATTTACAATTATTTTCTAAGTTAGAGTCTCCTTATGGGTTAATGGCTAAATTAAGACCCCCCCTCCTAATAATGGGGATGAGATTAAGAAAAGTAATTTCGAATATATTAGATAAAGTGCGCTATTTTCCGTATTAATTTAAATCAATTGGGAAAAATGTTTTGAACAGGCGTAATAAACAACGACCCTTTCAGTAGAACAGAAGGGGGCAGAAGAGGGTGGTGGAGTTATTCAACACGGAAAATACCTGTTTGGTTGGTAAATTTCTTCAGTTCTATTTATAAAGCAAATCTCCTTTTAGATCTGTTTCATTTTCAAAACCTTCTTCACGATCTCTCAAAACTGAGGGCAACAGCCAAACGAGTCACACTCCTTTCTACTCCATCAAACGATTTTTTTTACCGATCCGTAAGTAAATTTACCGATTTTCATATGCATTTTCACCAATTTATTTACTGTTTTAGAATCATTTTTAGGATTTGTATGATTTTATGAGATCTAGTTAATTAATGCTGAAATTTTGATCCTCAAATTCGGCCCAAAAATAATGGCATTTTAACTACAAAAGAAAGATTGTGGTTATCGTACTTTTATGTAGTGTTTAAATGTAGTTATTTTCTTTCGAAAAGATTAAGAAATAATGATATACGGATTCACACTGAAAATTGGATTTGCTGATTGAATTTTCCATTCTTTTTGAGTAATGATGAAGACGTACTTTACATATGCTACAAGAAGCTCGTGCATAAAGTGATTAGTGGTAAGTTTATGTTCAATTCAGTGGCGGATTAGTGTACACAAACCTTACCCCTACCTTGCGGAGGTATAGAGTCTGTTTCCGATAGACCCTCGGCTCAAGAAAGATGAAAAGAAACAGTATAAACAAGCAATATCAACAAACAGAGCCAGAAGATAATAACGACAAAGGAAACAACAACAACAAGCTATAACAACAAAAAAATACTAAGAAACTGAGGTGAAAGATAATGGGGAAACAACATGAACTACTAGCAATCTAAGACAAGAAACTACCAGGCTAACCCTAAAACCATCGATATGGAACAAAAGTACACTCGACTGTCTACTAATCTTTTATCCTAATCCTCGACCTCCACACCCTGCTATCGAGGGCTATGTCCTCGGTAAGCTGAAGCTGTGACAAGTCCTGCCTGATCACCTCCGGCCAAATATTTCTTAGATCTCCCTCTACCTCTACTCCTACCCATCAAAGCCAACCGCTCGCACCTGCTCACTGGGGCATCTGGGCTTCTCCTCTTTACATGTCCGAACCATCTCAGTCTCGCTTCTCGCATCTTGTCCTCCACGGGAGCCACTCCCACCTTCATCCGAATATTTCATTTCTAATTTTATCCAACCTGGTATGCCCACACATCCATCTTAACATCCTCAGTTCTGCTACTTTCATCTTCTGGATATGTAAATTCTTGACTGACATGCACTCTGCCTCATACAACATAGTCGGTCTAACCACCACTCTGTAGAACTTACCTTTGAATTTCGGTGGCACATTCTATCACACAAGACGCGTGATGCTAGCCTCCACTTCATCCATCCGATTCCGATACGATGTGTGACATCTTCGTCAATTTTCCCATTCCATTGGATCACAGACCCAAGATACTTGTAACTTTCTCTCTTGGGGATGACTTGTGAATCCAACTATTTCCACCGGCCTCTCCCAAACCTTCATAGTATGACTAAGCAACTTGATGCCCCTATAGTTGTTGCAATTTTTGATATCACCTTTGTTCTTGTATAACTGAATCATCGTACTCCACTTCCATTCTTCAGGCATCTTCTTCGTCCTAAAAATAACGTTAATCAACCCAGCGAGCCACTCCAAGCTTGCCCTACTCACGTGCTTCTAAAATTCCACCGGAATTTCATCTGGCCCGTCGCTCTTCCCCTGCTCATCTTGCTCATAGCCCCCTCAACCTCCTCGATTTTTATGCGCCTACATATATAAATATAAAATTTCGAACCGAGTAACTCAAATGGTCCGTGGGTTCAGTGGCATCTTGAATTCCAATCATGGATTTGCCTATGGTGTAATTTATTTGATCTATCCGTGGTGGCATGTTTATCTTCTTATTTTTAAAATCGATACGGGTAAAATGTTTATATCACTAGTGCAAAATTCTAGGAAGAATGAAGGTAGGAGATGTTTGAATCGACTAATTCAGTCCTGTATAAAACTTTACCTATCAAAAAAGAAGTCGCAATCCCATACTAGTTGGGGCTGGCTGTATGAATACTCTATATCTATTCCGCACTATTTGGGTACAAAAGAATAAAAAATTTGGAGGATTCGTGGTAGCATGACTATTTTTGCATTGGCTGTCAACCAACCACCACTCATCTTCTTTATTTGGACTTGAGGCTGGCTATGCGACGCTCGTATAGTTAGAGTTAAGCGAGGGGACGTACATAGAAATACTGTGTCAATGACTTGGTGTATATGCTGTAATTGAGCATGTACTTCTATGTGATAGGTCTTTTTGGTTCATCTTCAGTTGAGTTGCTTCACGTGTGATGAGTGCCATTAAATGCATACTAACTTAATTACTGTAGCATGATGTAGATACTGGAAATCTATGGCCATAGCTCCTCTTTGGTTCTCCTTACCATTACACCACGTTCAAATGGTTTTGATTCGTTTTTAATATTTGGTTATTCTTTCTGGTATAATCCCTACAGGACACTCCTCCCTTACAGGTCCCATTGGTGCATCATGTGCTATGCTTATGCGGCTGACTTATCTACTGTATGCTGATAGTCAATAAGCTTTTCATGTACAATGCAAGAATGGACTAGAAAACTCTGGCGTGAAGAGTAACTTTGCTTAGAATTTGTAGTGCAAGCATGGTGCTTAATAAAGTTACAGAAATGTTTTCCGCTGCAGTGGCTCGTTTTTCGAACCCAAAGACGTCTAGCACTCCATATCCATCATCGGGGTTACCACCTCTGCCAGGTTCACTTAATATTTCTAGCTTAGATCAGAAGAACAAGTTGAGACTTTCCTCATCCCTTCAGGATCTTTCTGCATACCGGCGGCTTGATCTGGAAGATGGTGATCTTAACCCTGAAATAGAGAGGGGTTCAACTAATTTAAAACGGCTAAATCTTTTCAAGAGAGAAAACTTGGGTACAAGCTTCTCCAAGGTGAAGGGGTCACCAGCAGTCAATTCTGCACGAACGAAATGGAAGCGAGTTATCTTAGTTCTCCTCTGCTTGCTATTGGTTGCATTTCTCCTATATATGTTATTTTTTTATCTTAATTTATTCCGCGGAGAGTCAAAGTTTTATGTTGTGCTTGATTGTGGTAGCACTGGGACTCGTGTTTATGTATATCAATCATCCCCTAACTATAAAAAAGATAGCGATCTCCCTATTGTATTGAGATCATTGCCAGAGGGTTTCCAGAGAAACTCAAGATTACAGAGTGGACGGGCTTACAACAGAATGGAGACGGAACCTGGATTTGACAAATTGGTGCACAACACATCTGGATTGAGAAAAGCAATCAAGCCACTAATTAAGTGGGCAGTGAAGCAAATCCCCAAGCATGCGCATAAATCTACTTATCTCTATCTTTATGCTACAGCTGGAGTCCGCAGGCTGCCAAATTCAGATTCAGAATGGCTTCTCAACAATGCTTGGTCCATTTTAAAAAGTTCGCCTTTTACGTGCAAGAGAGAATGGGTCAAAACTATCACTGGCATGGAGGAAGCCTATTATGGATGGATAGCTATGAATTACCACACCGGTATATTGGGGGCAAAACCTAAAAAAGGAACATTTGGTGCTCTTGACTTAGGTGGCTCATCGCTGCAGGTTACTTTTGAGAGCAAGGAAAATCTCCCTGATGAAACTAGCTTAGAGCTGAATATTGGTGCGGTTAATCATCATCTTACTGCTTATTCCTTAGCAGGATATGGCCTAAATGATGCTTTTGACAAGTCTGTAGTTCAGCTTCTCAAGAGCCTTCCCAAGATCAGTAATGCAGATCTCACCAGTGGAAACCTTGAGATCAAGCATCCGTGTTTGAATTCTGGTTACAAGGAGCAATATATCTGTACTCATTGTG